CCTCTCTGCTTTTTACTATTTTTCACTTCCAGAACTAAGATGATGAACAATGCAGGGTAAGTAGTACCTCCATCCTTGTAGAGCTGTCTGCACACTGAGGAACAAGAGTTATGGCAGAACTCGTTATGATTTGGGAAGTCTTTAACGCTCTGGAGGTTCTCTCAAAGGTGTTAATTTATGGGGTAAGAGAGCTCTCGGCCTAGCGCTACAGAAGAGCGGGTCTAGGGCCCCCACTGAGATCTGAATTTTTAATATATTTTACTATGCTTAGCTGGCAGGAATCTTTAGAAAGTACAGTGGGAAAGCAGTAAGTAACAGGCATACCATACACCTCTTCAGACATATTATGATTTTTCATTTAGATTCAATCAGAAAAGGTCGCAGCATATGAACAAACTGCTCAGATTGATCAAACAGTGAGCGTGAACCAAAAGAAATGTGGTATTTCAAAATCTGAGAAAAAAGACATCCGCTTCCCGCAACTGCTGATAACATCACAACAAAAGGAGCTGAAAGGAATGGAAGGTAAGAAATTCTTATCGGTTTTGCAGGGGCACAAATCAGAAGCTAGTTCTAGCAGAGAAGTATTAATTTGAACTAAGACCTAAATAACCAATAAGTAGACTTGGTGGAAAATTCTTAGGAAAAAATATGCATCAGATCGGAAAGGATAAAAACTGCGCATGCATATGAGTTTTTAGGCTTCAGGAATATTTCTTATATATATATATTTGAAAGTTGGGATGAAATTTGAAGACAAATTATCTTTTAACTGAAAAATCTCTAAAATAGTTCAGCTGTTTCCAGATCAATCCATTTAGGCATAAAATTTGAAGATAAATGGAGAATGTAGAAAAAAGTCTAGAAATAACTATGCATCTCTTTGTAAAAGCTAAACAGGTAAAAACGCTGAAGAGGGAGGCAAAGAATTCTGAAGTATTTAAAATACCTTCTTTACTCAGTGTTGATCAATGTCAAGAAAAACAAGAGGTAAATGAGCACGTTAGTGAAAAATATATGATGGTTTATACAATAGTTATTTAGAAGATGTAAGAGTCGGTCAGCTAACTTTCTTTTCTCCAATTGATTTTTCAGAATGTGGAAAAAACACACAAAATAAACTCAAGCAGTCTTTCCTGGAATAAGCAATGTGCCAGCATGTGAGACTGTAGAATCTTTGTAGAGTAAAATCTTTGTTCTTTTCTTAATCTTTGAGAAATTAATATGGCTGTTTAATGATGTATGGGATTTTATACGTTTGCTGTAGTAAATACGCACCCCACAGGGATAGTTTCAATGTGTTGATCATGAAACAACTGATAGTTACTTAAAAATGCGTATTTATATTAGCTCTTAAGCATCTGATTATATAGGTGTTTCTTGTCTAATTAGGAGCCGCTCCTAGCTGTCTACTCTTACACCTTTTACAGTAATATCTAAACATTATTTTAATCCTTAGACAAATATATTCTCTGGAGAGAGAAATTTACGTTAAAGGTATGTATGAATACAGACAAAACTTATATTTTAACATTAAAAAGCAAGATCAGGCTGTCTGCCTTTTTCTTGCAGTTACGCATAGTATTAACATACCATCAGTACTGCATGCTCAACTCATCCAAAATGATGTGAGTAACAATTAGCTCAGCCTGTCCAAAGGTTCTGTTATTTATTTCTCTTGCAGATGATCACCCACTGTGTTGTTATAAATATGTTAAGGGAATGCTGGATTGAGTGTTCTAGCCAACATCTTTTTATGGTTTCTGAAAATAAAGTGAGCGAAGATTGTTCAGAAGCCATTTGTGATTGTGGAGTCAGCATTTGTTAAGCTGATTTACACTTGGAGTAATACTCAGTTTAAAAAAAAAAAAAAAAAAGGCCCATGGAGATTTCTTGAATTGGAACAGCCAAGAAGATTATTTTCAGTTCAGGTGTTAATATTTTATCATTTTAAAGGAAACCAGTTGCCAGGTAGACAGCATAATCCATAAATGCAGTTTGAACAGAAGACATTTTCTTATATATGAGACTTTAAGCAACGGACTTCTACAGTGCATGATTTCACAACTACCTCTGTTTCATAAGTTTTACAGCCCCATTAACAAAAAATAAAGCTAATGTGAAAAAGTCGGAAGGGACATTTTAGCCAAAAACTACTTTCAGTGTACTTTTACAGTGATGTTAGGAGGTGATAGAGGTAGTGGCCCACCATTACCCATGAAGCTCCTTTACTTTTACTTTTTAATTGCAGACTGTAGCTTGAGAAGCAGGATCTCAGGCATGAAGGATTACAAAATATTTATTTAGTATTACTTATTTAATATTAAGTACTTAGGCTCGGTATATTCACTGTGCAACTTACATTTAGACTTCAGAGGGTCTAATTTTATGTCTCTTTATTCTGTAAAGTTAGAAGCCATTTTTAGCTTTGGTGATAGCCTTTTATCCTAACTACTAAACATGTTTCATCTACAAGTTTATTTCAATTTTTTTTCACATCAAATATGTAGTACAGCCTGGTTAATGTTTCTTTTGGCAACAGTGGTAGCTTAAGCAGCCCGGAGTCGTGTTGTTTGTTTCCAGGCCCACATCTCTGCCTTAATTGTGACGGCATAATTGCATGTCAGCAGCCCAGTCAAGGACTCTATTTTGACTAAAATAATCTGACCAAAAATGGTTATTTTAAACTTGGATCACTTCCCTGCACAACAGCCTCACAAAGAGCTGGTGTCACAACCGAGCTATAGTGGCAGTGGGAGAATAGGGGCCGCTCACGCCAGGACTGTTGCCGAAAGGCATGTGCATAAAACTGCAGCCTTGGCTTTACAGACCAAAACGCTGTGCAATGACTTTGGTCTGTTCAGTATCTAAGGCAAAGAAAAAGAAAACGACATAGTCATTTTAACTGCGTTTCTACAATATCCATGACTAAATTAACGGAATAAACTATGAATTAACAACATGCTACAGGGATTGGTGTGTATATATATATCGATAACATATGAGAAATCTGCATAATAGTGTAAGATTAGGAAAGACATGCAAAAGTGCATTTACAGAAGGAAAAATCTACTTAGAGAATATAAACCAAAAAAACTCTCAGAAAATTAACAGGTATTTTTTAGTTATCTTGCTGTTTTCAGTTCCAGCCTTGTTTGATTATGGGCTTGCAGCAAGATAAAGAGTTACTCATTATGTTAACAGGTAGAGAAAGTTCAACGTAATTCAAGAGGTTAACAGTATCCTTGATTATTGGTATTCAGTGGGTGCCAACAATAAGGATAAGTTACCTGCAGAGGAGGGGCAAGAAGCCAGAATACCTAGCAGAGGCGAGCTGTTCCAGGATGCTTAACTGAAATCTATAGGAGTTTTGATTATATGGAAACTGTGTTACAGTCCTTCACAATACTGTATTTTTTTCAGAGAAGTAGTTTCTGCCCTATCATTCATTACATCCTGTGGTATTGCTAGGTGTCTGTAAACTGAAGAATTGAGCTGAGCAGCAAAGCGAATACAGTAAGCTAACTGGAACAGGCCATGAACAGTGAAGTCAGAAGCCTTTCTTTATCACAGAAATTAGGAAACATATTCCTGTTCTTATTGCTGAAACTTTTCCTATTTACTGTTGCATATTTAAAATTTGTCTTTAGCTTTCTTCTGATGTATTTTCCAGGTGGTCACTGGCGTTGCTAGGAGGCTGTTAAAACAGTACTTTGTAGATGAATGTGGGTTTACGTTTTTTCTGTTTCTTTTTTCTTCCCTGTTTATATGCTTTACAGTTTTATCTCTTTTTGCAATAGATTGATTACAGTATGTAGGAGGAGTTTCTTTGCTTCCTCCCACCCTGTCCATACAAACTGGTAAGTTCACAGCTTGAAATCTGTTAGGTGTTATAACTAGTGTTTTATCATGGTAAATGTTTTTAGTATATCCTTTTCCACAGTATGGAGAGGAAAAAAACTATTCTGCATCTATTGACGAATCCCTCGTCTTCATTCTTGTCAGTTAGGAAAAACTACAAACCACCTAAGATAGATAGATAGGAGGTGTTGGAAAGCTATGAAAAGCCTAGAAAGTAAAAGAAAGAAAAAGACTATATTAGTGTCTAAGTTCAAACAAATTTCTCTTCCTGGCTTTATAGCAAGCTGGCTACTTCAAAGTCTTGAAATATAAACAGAGTTTTAGATAACAAATTTCAAGGTAATAAAAAGTCAGACCATCAAAATTAGGATAATCTGTACCTGGCTTGATTTCTTCTTATTTCATCTTGCATGGTTTATTAAACCTAAACATAAGAATATGGGGGCTCATTCAGTTTTGCTGTCTGGCCTGTGATTTGCTGCCAACGTGTTATGCAGGAGGGATGCTCATGCTGTTGGAAGTTTAATAAAGTGTTGACTGACGTATACTAATTGTAACAGATGTTTTAATGGGTTATCTGAACTGAAGTATACATAGCACACACACATCGGTGTGAAAAAGCAATACCGGCCCTCTGCACAGAGCAGATTTACTATAGATAAACCTGTAATGACATCAGCTGGGTGTAACCAACAGTTTAGAATACTCCATAAATTTGTGTTTAAGTATTTATAAAGTGTATTCTACATACGGCTCTTCCTTACCAGCACTAAACTAGTACATCTCCATGTCCTATGGTCAAAGAGCAGGACAATCATAAGAGATTAAACTGAGATTTGGATGCTAGACTATTTTTAAAATCTCTTTTTCTACCTCTCCTAATGCCTTTCCCATACAATCTTATCTAAAAAAATTTATTTTGAGAGCTGGGAGTAAGTAGGGGGCTGAGGGCTTCATTTCATCGAATTCAGAAAAAGCTTACGTGGGCTAAGGGTTAGAGTTAGAACCGACAAAAGCAGGTTTCATTCACTGCATCCCAACTCAGAAGACAGAGGCGCGTACCTTGAAGATCTCAGAAAAGAAAAATGGTATTTACAAGGCTCAAAAAAATGTTGTGAAAGGGAGAAAGTAAACGCTCCAAGAATAAAGAGTAAAATATTTTCTATTTAAAGTGGCTTGATCTGGCACTAGCCTGGGAGACAATCCGGACTGTGTTCCTCCTTCCTTGCTGTGCTATTGGCCGAGGTGATATGGGTAAATAATCTTATTGCGGAACACTTCAGATTCCCATCTGTGAAGTGGTATTGACTTTCGCAAAGCCCACTGAGACCTACTGATGGAAAACGCTATGCCAGAGTTGGTAGTATGGTTTGACATTTTTCTCATAAAGGGAACTCTTTATTTGTGTGTCTTTCTTTTATTATTTGTCTTTGAACTCTTTTAGAAAGGTGCTAAGTTTGTTCAACTACAAGGTTTTACAAGGGTTGTCAGAGAAGACCTGATAATCAACTAATCTCTGCTGTTAAACGTTTTGCCCCCAGGAAATTAGTATTTTTTTGTCTGTGCGCTATTTGCCTCCCTTCGCTCTGCAGAGCTAACAAATATAACGCCATTGAAATTGGAAATCACAACACAAGCGGGAACCTCCTGCAGGAGGACAGCGGAAAAAATAATGCCTCTCTGAGTAATATGGAAATAACTACCCTGTTCAGAAATATCTATTACACTTATTATTGCAGCTGTAGGGGCATGTTACAGATCACAGCACTGTGACCACAGCATACCAGCCATGGGCTTAACAACAGTATCTGGCAAATATAGACCAGTCATGCAACTCTAACGTTTTTGCTCTTTGCTATCTGCCTCATGGGTCTTTTCTGCTGAGGAACTGTTAAGTGTTTTATTGCATATGTGAATATGTAGATACGTATTTTGAAATAGAGTTGCTCAACTACAGAAATGTATTTTCCAACTAAAACAATTGATTTTATGTATAAGACACTATTTGTGTTAGACAAAGTATACCTTACATCAAGCATTATTCTGAAGTGTTGCAAACACATTTCGTTTCAGGTTGGTTGTGGGAGGGCAAATTCTGATAGTAGAAGTTGTATTTCGTAAACCTCCGTTCAACAGTATTCTTTTAAATCTAATGCAGAAAGAGTAAGTTGGAACAGCTGTTGAAACAAAATAGTTATTTTCCCAGCATAAGTATTTTGGAGTCATTGGTTAATTCTCTTCTTTGTTCTCTTGCTTAGACAGCTTATGCAGACTGCGATGAGGCTAAATTACATCAGATACAGAAACATCCTTTCAGAATTCAGAACTGGAATCTTCCCTTGAGTCACTTGTATACAGCTGATAGTTCTCTCGTAAAATGCTTTTTATTGCAATTTTAAGAGCATCTGATGCCAAAGGAGA